TAACATTCCACTCTACATGGTACTGTTATTCAGCTTTCTAACTCTTGCCAATATCTGATAGATATGTTGTGATAACTTAATATTTAAATTTGCTTTTCTCTTACTACTTATGAGTTTGAAAATCTCTTCAGATGCTTGCCATCATTTTGGCTTTCCTCTTCTGTGTATTGTTTCTTCATATCCTTCACACATCTATTTCTCATGGTTTTTCTGTGTATAGTCTGTAGGAGATCCTTGTGAAATCCTTACCAAATATGAAACCTTTGTTTCTTATGAATATGATCACCTGATGTGGCAGCGGTGAGGTCATTGGGAACGGGAGGGATGTGTGAATTATGCTCGGGGAAACTCAGCTGGAAGGAGCCCTTTGGAATGTCTATATCTGAGCAGATTGAGGAGGATCTGGGTGGAGAATGGGTTGGGGAGATGGAGGATGGTTGGGTACAGTCACCCACAGGGCAATATTGCTGGGTAAGCTGTACTAAGATTATCAAAAACTTGGGTTTCTGGATACCAGGAATCAGTTGGGCCTCAGGAAACTCCTACACAATATGTGGTTGGGATATCCTTGCATCTGGCCCTTTCGAGGCTCAGAAGTGTGATGTCACCCTGGGCTGCTGTTCTGGGCAATGGGTAAATCTCACCACCAGGAGCGGAAGCAGGCTAGCCAGGATGAATATAGTCAGCGCTCTATCATATCCTCTCAATGTCCACCGCATTACCAATTACAAGAATTCCACATATTTTTCAAAATAGGAATGTAGCTATTGGTATTTAGTACCCTTCATGTTACTTTTTCTACTACTGTGCAGTCTCGTGAAGGAGTTTTCAAAATATACTAATACACATAGTTCTTACTTAGCTAATGGTTATTACACTAACGTGATTGCATATTTGTATAGGAAATTTTTCAGTACCCTGTGTGGCTATCATAACATTAGGATTGTCTCAAAAAGTCTGAAGCATAAATCCCAAATATGTGCTCCATTATTTAAAAGAAAAAGAAAAAATAATTTTTACTTTCTTCATTTTAAAAATGTATATCATGATAACATTAAAATAAAGGTTGCAAAGGCAATTGTTTAAACAAAACTGTACAGTAGTCTTTTATAGAAAAAAAAGTGCAATTAGATAACTTTTAGAATTTCTATTTGTGATTTTCTAAATGTTGTGGTTGAATCTATTCTTCATCTTTGGTACCCTCTTGTGGTTAGTGGAGGCATTGGTTTGGTCTTTTTTTCTTTTTAACAATTGTGGATATTTTAATATTTTTATATGTAATATGCTTGTAGTTATAACCACTTGACAATTTTTATTATATATAATATCTCTAAAATTAAAATTGGCACTTGCAATCTGTGCTGTAATGATTTCCTCTCTTTCCTCTCTTCAGTGTGTGTGACGTCACCACAGTTGCTAAGCTTATAAGTTCAGTAATAGTATGATCACTGTGCTCAGAATAAATTAGCGTAGTTTGGAAAACAGAATGTAAACCCAGAACTTACCTTATACTTTCTCCAATTCTAGTTAGGCTTGGGGACTAATTTGTCCTTTATGATGATCTATATTTAAATAATTTATCTTATACATACTTATCACACATAAATGCCTATATATGTCTTCATTTTTAATGATTACCTAGTTCAAATACAGTTACCATTGATTTATAGAAAGTGTACCATTATAATATAGCATTTTATGAATCATTCCAAAACAATAAGAAAACGTGATAGGCCCTAGATGGTGTGTTTCAGTTAGTTGGAGCTTCATCCATACACCAAAAGGTTGCTGGTTTTGATTTTTGGTTAGGGCATTTACCCAGGTTGTGAGTTTGATCCCTAGTGGGGGCATGGGTGGGAGGCAACCAACAGATGTTTCTCTCTCACTCTCACTCTCCCTTACCCTCCCTTTCCTTTCCTCCGTTCTTCTAAGATCAATAAAATAAAAATACAAAGCCAGTGATCATGCACAGCATTTAGTAAAGATTCATGGATTATTTTTCCCTTCTCTCTGTAGCACTGGTTTCAGAGAAAATTCTTAGCTTGATATCCACAACAAGTGAACAGACAAGAGGTAGTTATGTAGTTATGTCCAAATAGACTTGGCTTACAAGAGCAATAAATCATGACTTTTTAGGGGAGATGTGACTTGCAAGAAGCGTTCTTTCTTTTCAGAAACATGTGTCCTTAGATTATAGTTGTCCTTCATGTGGCCAGCTATGCTAACATAACTCTTTAACTTTATGCTCCAGCTGAGTGAGTTTTTGTTGTCTATCTCTTCGAGTAGATCTTTTTTGCTGGCTGGATGGTGTGAAGGGTTAGGATTTGAATAAGAGTCCAGGCAGTGCTTTTGGGAATAACTTGTATCTTGCCAGGAATTCTGATGTGTTAGCCCTGAATTAACATTTCCAAAAATGCCATCAAACACTGACTGAAAACAAAGATGCAAGTGTAGCCACCGCAGCTGTGTTCTCTTCTCCTTCAGTTTCCTCTTTTATGCACAGTGAGAAATTTTAAGCCCGCATTGTAAGATGAAAGTGAATCAAGTTTTATGTACTATACCATTATGCAGCTGGTTGACCCCAAATGAGAATGTGCAATTGGGTTTGAGTTAACGCCATTTCTGCAGAATATTCCCTTGTAACATGGCTATTGACTTTTTGAGCAAGTGGAATATCAATGAGGGACTATTGTGGCCAGTGCTATAAGAGGAAGAATTTAATCTTTTCATTAAATATTTCTTAAGCTCTCTCTGAGATATTCAATTTTAAGGAGGGTAGGGTATATGTAAAGGTCTGTGCTGCAATGTAGAGCATGAACACCATAAGAAACCCATGTGTACAGCTGTATGAGCATTCACAAGGGGGAGAGAGAGTTGGTAGAGGGGACTTGTCAATGATGTCTATTTGAACTGGATACTAAATGTAGATATAACTCAAATAGGTTGAAATTGGAAGAAATGAGCATTTATGTCAAAGGAGAGATGGCCTAGGGAGAAACAAGAAAAGGATAGGAGTTCAAAAGGGGCCAGTGAGAGAGACTTCGGAGAAGTAGATTGGGCAGGTGAATTGTGGGCATGAAGCACCAGTTTAAGAGAAACGTCGCTGAGCAGAAGATGCGATGCTCACCCAGGTGTGTCTGTCCCCTCAGTGGAGTGGACACGCTTCTGCTGTCTGAGCCTTGGGCTTCCTCGCTTCCTTTCGGTTCTGCTCATTTTGGCATGTGAGCTCCTCAACAGATCTCTTTTGGAGTTATTTTCAAGTGTGTTTCTCTTAGTAGGACCACATTTTCTCTTTAGGTAATAAGAATCCTTGGAGGATTTATACTCGCCCCCCTCATTCACAGGTACAGTGCTGAAAGTGCAAACCTATCAGTACTTCTTAAATGGCCTAAGAGGGATTTGAATTTCTATAGCAGAAGCCTACTTGCTCTTTCCATTCAATGCAAGCTTTCCCTTCCATTCTTCCCTTTTTCCCATCCTTGCCCCATCCATCCATCCATCCGTTCATCCATCTAGCCATCCATCCATTGTTTGTTTGTTTTTTTAAATCTTTATTGTTGAAAGTATTACATATGTCACCCCCCCCCCTTTTTTTTTTTTTGCTGGAAGAGGTTAATGGGAGTGGTTAGGGGATATCCATTATTTTTAATTTACCTTTTCCAAATACTTATGCAAATAATGAAGCAAAACATTATGCATAATAATTGTGGAGATTGATTTTTAAAAATTTATTTTTGACGTGGCTCAATGGTTGAGTGTTGTCCCATGAACCAGGAGGTCACAGTTCGATTCCGAATCAGAGCACAGTCTCTCTGAAATCAATTTAAAAAATACATTCTTAAAATTTTTATTTTTTAATTACAGTTGACACACAAGCTCCTATTAGTTGAAGGTGTACAATATAGTAAAGGCTGTGAAAAATAACAGTGCGTGAATCTCTGCATGGGAGAAATAGGAACCTGCATTTTGAATAGGCTTAAAGCTACCCGACTCTGATTGAAGTGGCTCAGAGACTGTCTCTCTAGAAACACTGAAATAAAAGTAAAGAGCAGTATTACTCTGGCCCATGAAATTTGAGTGTTACCTAGTACTTATTTCAGAGGGTCTCATGAATGGATAAAACATGTGTATTTATGGTTGGAGAAGATTATATGCCCAGGCATGTCCTGTTCCTTTTAGGATTTTATTGCATTTGCATTTCGATAGAAGCATGTGATAGACTGAAAGATGCTAGTAAAGTTATACTCCTCCTCAAAAGGCCCTCCTGGTTACAGCCACTTCTTCAAAACAAAAACATAATTTTTAGACGTAAACAAAGGACAGTTATTACCCTGTTTCCCTGAAAATAAGACTGTCTTATATTAATTTTTTCTCCCAAAGTTGAGCTAGGTCTTATTTTCAGGGGATGTCTTATCTTTCCATGCGCTAGATCTTATTTTTGGAGGATGTCTTATTTTCGGGGAAACACGGGTAGTTTTGTTGAGTATATGATACAGTGCTGCTAATCTCTTTGTTTTTACTTTAAGCTGTCTGACTTAATGATTCTATGCTTTTAAAAGTCTGTTTTCTTCCTTGTTAAGAATGAGTTGTTTGAAGTATCAAGTATCTTTTTGTGGCTGGGAAATAATGATTTCTGGAAAAGGCTCTGTGCCCGTGGTTCTCTACGCTGGCTATATATTATCTCAATTGAATCACTAAAAAGCCTAAAGGAGACATTTTCTTTATTTGAGAATCAATTTTACAGTGCTCCAAGGGATTCTACTACAGCCAGTCTGGCCCCTCCATAAGAGAGAGTTCCATGACACCCGCTGGGAGGATACATATGCCAATGACTGTTGTTTCATGTCCTTCTTTCTACTCTGCTTCCTATAGTTTTGCCTGTATTTGGAGTTCACTAATCCTTAATTTATTTGATGTTTGATGGGAGTGGTGAAAATAGAGGTTTTCTTAAGGCTCTAATTTGAATGTTTATGGGTGTGTTCTTTTTTTGTTATTCCCAGGATGGGAAGAAGAAGTTTGACAAGGAGAGTGAAAAATACTATTCTATTCTTGACAAACATTTAAATTTGTCTGCGAAGAAAAAGGAGTCTCATTTGCAAGAGGTAAGCTTTTCCCAGAGGAAAAGGGGCGTTAGCATTAAGTCCTATGAAGTCCCAATGTCCAAAGGTAGCAGTACCTCAGAATCTGCTCTTCTTTAGTTTAAAAAAGTAGATAGTTCCTTGAGCATTTACTATGGATGGGCCCTGTGCTGAACGTTTTTCATGCCTTATGGCATTTAATATTAACAGTTCCAAATGAAAAAACAGTGTTTTCTTCAACAGTACAAAAAAATGAAACATATCTTTTTCATTTTCTTCTGTTGGGCATATTTTAATGGCAGAACCTACCAAATACCTGTTATAGCTTTTATGTTAAGTTGAAAATATCTGTTTTTAAAGTGTTGCCTCAACATTGTCGGGGGGGGGGGGGGAGAAATTCAATTATTTTACATCATTTTTCTAAAGAACAGGCAACAGAAATATTTTACTAACCTGTATGCATATAAGCAGTCCAATTATTCCTTCTTTCTGAAATTATCTGTCCTTTTCATTGGTAGTGTTTTAACTATAATTACGGTAGTAAAATCTTGTCCTTTGACCAAGGCATAATGCAGGTTTAGTTCTACTGATGGGAGGTGGGTTTTTTGTTTTGTTCTGGTTTATTAAATGGACTTTCTTGTCATTTTCATCCTAAGAACAACAATAACAACAAATCTTGACAGTCCACCACGCTTTTCCCTGGATCTACCGTGGTTGTCTCAGAGCGGCGAGAAGGGAGTCAGGTGGTCGCCCCCTGAGCTCCACATGCTCACAGGAATCACAGGAGACCGCCGCTCCGCTCGGAGTCTCCCAGTCTCTTCTCCTCTCTCCATACTTGGAGCTGTCACTGTCCAGAACCGCTTCTGGATGCCTCATCCTGATCCAGCAAAGCCAATGAGCGCTTTTCCAACTCACCCTGGTCCTCTCTGCTCTCTGTATTCTTTCTTCCATTTCTCTTACCTCCACATTCAGCCACGGGAGGGCTATTTTGCTTTTGATTCCTTTTTTCTATACTTTCATTGAGGGAATTGAATTTCTTCATTTAAATATATTTCATATTGGGAAGTTCTGTTATTTAAACATGAGTTCATTATAACCTATATTGTGTTACTAGCACCTTCTATTATAAAAGGATAATTGAACATATAATTGTGTGCCCATGAAAAGATTTTGTAGCTAAATGACATGAGGAAGAAAAAAACTGTCATTAAGAAAAATGAATATTTTAAATTTTCAATGGCATATTTAATTTTATGAGGTATTATGTTTATAATTTAATATTCCATTGACATGTCCCATACTACTACTGCTACTACTACTACTTCCCCTCCATTCTACCTCTCATGTCCCCCTTAGTTTCCACCCTTATTCTGCTATTCATATCTTTACGTTTGTGTCTCCAACATCTCTTCCATTTCCATACTGTCCTTATAACATCCTCATGAGCATCTCATGGTGTGATTTCATCATGTTGACCAACTTCATGCTCAGGACTTGACCATTTCTTAATGACACATTGTAATCACACATATTACCATTTTCTCAAATTTGTTCCTACTTCTCATTTCTTTAATTCTGTTAATGCTGGTGTTTCTCACATTAAAATTATTTTTTACTTTTTTTCCCTCCTTTCTCACACCCACGTCCTTATTTCTCAAATCCTTCATCTTTTCTTTCTTACTTAGGTATACCAAACATCTTCACTCCTACTAAATAAGAGGTCTCCCTATAGTCACAGGCACCCAGCCGCACCATTGAATCAGTATATTCTCTACTGTCCTCACGTTAATCTTCCTGGAATTCTACTTTGATTTCATCAACACTTTTCTCAAGCTTTTGTAGTGTCTATGGATAAAGTTTGCACACATTCTCTCTTTTCTGCCTTAACTCTCATTTCTGACAAAACTCTGATCAACCAAAATATAACTTTTCTGGACAAGAATAAACTACTGTTTGTACCTGTTCCCTGGTTCAGATTCTTCTCCTTTTAGCTCTACTTACTCTAAACTCCCCATTCTTCAGTCCAGCTTAAATCATTTTTTCTCTGAGAATGAGGATGTGTGTGTGTTTTTCTCTATTTTGATTGCTTATTGTACATGGGGAGTAATTTAGGTTCCTGCAGAACTATATGGTTTTCTTATGTAATTAACTTGTTTTCTTACCCGGATGACTTTATTGTTCTTTTTTGCTTTGTAAACAATAGTTTATACCTGTTGTTCTGGCATAATTATTACTGGTGCTCCCTTTTTGTTTAAAAACTTTGGACAGTAAATTATATGGCTATCCCATTTACCCAGGACAGAATACAAAGCAACAGTTGCCATGGGTTTATAAGCAACTGTCTGCTAGTGAATAACACACTATATGAGTTGAAGTACTAAAGGGATTCATAGCAAGTAAAGAATGTCTTTCAAAAACATATTGCACTGAAGAGAAATTATATTCTCTATGCACTGTACATTCTAGATGACCTTTCAAAGCAGGCTTGGTACAACAAATGCATCTAGATTGGAGGTGATGGGAATTTAAGCAGGTTTGGAATTCATCTAGATTGGAGGTGATGGGAAACACCAATAATTGGCAGATAGCAAGAGTCATCCTTTCTCTTTTATCCTTCTTGGTGCCCCATGTCCTTTGATGAGATGGACTTGTGCAAGGCAAATGAGTTTCTCAGGAAATCACTTACTACCCCCAGATTTCATGATTTGCTAGGACTCATGGCTATGGTTCCCTGCAATGAAAAGATGTGAAGGAAACTCAGCAAAGGACGCATAGGATGAAGTCTGGGCATGAGCTTCCAAGAGTCCTTTCCCAGTGAAGACATTACAGGACACACTTAATCCACCAGTAATAAGTTGTGAAGAAAACATGTGAAAGGTTGTCTATTAGAAACTCATTATAGACCGAGCACCCATGGTTTTTACTGAGAGGTGGTCACTTCGGCACCTTTTGCTTGCCATGGTCCCACATTCCAGAGTCCCAGAGGAAATGCAGGTGTCTAAAATAAACCATATTGTTTGCACAGATTGTTTTGACACAGTGAACTGCTCTTATCAATAGGGCTGGTGGGAACGCTCCCAACATCAACATTCCCAGATGCAGCCCAGGGCCAGCCCGGGAGCAGGCCTCCCAGCACGGCATCCGCGCCTGCTGTGCGATCTGCTTCACAGCTTTGTTGACCAGAAATAATCGCACAGGTCGTCAAGGTGGCCCAACATTCTAGTTTGTTCCCATGCGCTCGTCGGCACAGTCCATGCCGTTATCTTTTCAAGAGCAAGACCTTCAGACATCACCTGTGGAATAGAATGCTATTGTGGAGACTAAAAAATTCTTGTGGCCTTTCCACCAGTGGTGTCCTGGAGCTCTCTGTTGGAGAGCCGATTTTTCTCATCTCTTTCTCTCGCTCCCTCATCCACTGATGTTGGGTTTGTGGTTTGGAACTGGCTGTGGGGGAATATTTACACCACAGAAACCAGTCAGTACCGCAAATCCGGCTTTCCCCACTTTCCCCGCCTGCGAGAGCCAGCTGCTAAACATTTATTATTAGCATACCACTAACTACACCTCCTTCCCCTTCCTTCTATAAATAGTGCGCTCTTGTAAGCTGTGGTAAGAAAACGCCTGATTTGTGTAGAATGCTGATTGCCTTTGTGTTGATGTGTGTATCTTTTCTTGTTTAGAAATTATCTTTGGGAGCTTGGAAGCTTCTGGTTCACATTTCCTACCTGGTTTATATGTTCTTTTTGTATATTCGTTTAGAAAGTTGGAACGCTCTGCTTTAAAAAAAAACAAAACTCCCTATTGAGCTGCTTATCATTCTGGGTTATTTTTAATTATATGAATAAATGCATAGTAAGTATATATCATTATTTTTAAAGGCATTTCAAGTTGAAGTTTTAAGATGCTGTGATGTCCAAGCCAGTAAACCTAATTTTATCTTTTTTTTTTTTTAAAGCTTCTCTTTGTGAAATTGTCATTATAAAATAGCTCCAAAGTTATATTCTATTCCCAAATTGTTGTTGACAGATACTTTGTATTCCCTTTTCTTTTTCACCTGTTTTTAGTAATCTCAACTGGCAGCGGGGAGTATGTAACGGCAAGAAAAATAAAATCACGACTCTCTCTTTTGTTTACTAATTGATTTTTTTTTAGAGAGGGGGGAGGAAGAAGAGAGAGAGAAACATCAATGTGAGAGAGATACATCATTAGTTGCCTCCCTTACTCTCCCTGACCAGGGTTTGAACCAACTGTGGTATGTGCCTTGTCTGGTAATCAAACCCAGGACCTTCCATTGCATGGGAGGATGCTCCAACTGACTGACCCACACAGGCCAGGGCATGCCTTTCTGTTGAAAACCAGCTTTAAAAAGGGCATGTGAAGGTGGCACTGGGCATGGAAGAGGGGAGAGAGGTAACATAAAAAAAGAAAATGAGCCAAAACCGGTTTGGCTCAGTTGTAGAGCGTCGGTCTGTGGACTGAAAGGTCCCAGGTTCGATTCTGGTCAAGGGCATGTATCTGGGTTTCGGGCATATCCCCAGTAGGGGGTGTGCAAGAGGCAGCTGGTCGATGTTTCTCTCTCATCGACGTTTCTATCTCTCTATATCTCTCCCTTCCTCTCTGTGAAAAATCAATAAAAATATATATTTAAAAAAAAAAAGAAGAAAAAAAGAAAATGAAATTACCTCAATAACCCTTTTCTTACACTTTATCCATCAAATCTTACTGTGTTCACGAAGAATAAAAGTGCATGGCATTGATGGAGTATGAATCACTAGGTTAGAACTCTGCTATCAGTATTATCTTTCTAAGGGATTACCTAATGATGTGGCTTGCTGCTTAATATTCTCAGATAATTTGTTCTCAGTTAAATCCACATTTGCTATACAGTGCTCAAGGCCTTTACAGTGTGATGCTAATCTTACTTCTCCTTCCTTCCCTCCGCTAATTTACTCTGTTGGCAAATGCTGTCAAACTCATTCATGGTTCTTTACTTTTTTATGGGAGTGACTCTTTAAAAAAAAAAAAATCTTTGATTACTCACTGCCAGTTGTTCACCTTAAAAATCAACCCAAACCCCACCATTTCCTCCCAGAACTTAAAGCTCTTTTTCTTTTTTCATGATCCTGTAGATTTTCAAATACTTTTATATACCTCTTGTACATTTTTTTAAAAAAATATATTTTATTGATTTTGTACAGAGAGGAAGGGAGAGAGATAGAGAGTTAGAAACATCGATGAGGGAGAGTCATCGATCAGCTGCCTCTTGCACACCCCCTACTGGGGATATGCCCGCAACCAAGGTACATGCCCTTGACCTGAATCGAACCCAGGACCTTCCAGTCCCCAAGCCGATGCTCCATCCAGTGAGCCAAACCTGTTTCGGCTTTTTTTTTTTTTTTTTTTTTTTTTTTTTTTTTATGATCTGACTGTTGTATGCTTACTCTGTTGTTGTTTTTCCCCTCCCACCCCATATACTATAGTTCTTATGGACAAGAGCTATGTTTTCCTAATCTCTGTATTCCCAGGACATTATAATAATAATGATTGCTGTATTAAAACTTTTGGCAGGCCTTCATTTTTAATAAAGATTTCAGAATGGAACAGGATTTGAACTCCTCTCTAACACAGAACCATTAATAATTACCCCCTGTGTCATGGTTTGCCTTGTTGCACTCCTTAGGCAGATACACAAATCGACCGAGAACATCAGAACTTCTATGAAGCATCGCTGGAATATGTCTTTAAGATTCAAGAAGTTCAAGAAAAGAAGAAGTTTGAGTTTGTCGAACCGGTAAGTTTTAATTTCCCTATAAAATAGTAAGTCCAGTATATCCTGAGGAAAAATACCGCAGTGTTTTTCTGCTGAAACTTAGGATTTTTAAAAATAAAAAGGAAGACGGGAATGTGGGACGGGCAAATAGGTGGGCACTTTTAGGGCAGGAAAAACTATTGTCTGGAACATTGGTGGTGGACAGATGTCATTCCAGATTGGTGAAAACCCATAGACTGTACAACACAGACTGAATCCCTGATGTAAACTATAGATTTCATTGATAATGATGTGTCAGTACTGGATTGTCATTTGTAACAAGTTTTCCTCACTGATGCAAGATGTTCATGACAGGGAAACTGCTTGAGTTGGGGCTAAGGGACTCTTTGGGTACTCTAATTTTGCTCAGTGTTTCTATAAACTGAACACTGTTTTAAAACAGCCCACTAATTTGAAAAAAAAATTAAGAATAGAAGGGTGTTTTCTGACACATACCTCAGCAAACACGCCTCACCACCAAAGTGAGCCAGGGGCCAACGCTTGAGGTGGAGGGCGAAAGCATAGGCCACATGTCACTCTTTGTTCCCGCCACCGCCGTGCAGGGCTGGGACTTGCCTTGCTTTCCAATGAAGTCATTTGTTTTGCGAAGCCAGTGTGAAAAGTAATGGATTCCCTAACGCAAACCACATTACAGAAATGAACAGGTGGCCGGTTTTTACGGGGCTTACTTCATTTTCTTCCCAAGAAATACCCCCCTATGTTGCAATATTGGCTACGTAGGCGTCTTCAGGAGAGAGCATCTGTGATGAATGAAGGTAAGTTCTATGGTCAGGATTGCCTTCCGTTAGTAGATGACACTCAACCCACTCCATGGGTTGAGAGGACAGTGATAGTAAAATATATTAAGTAATCAAATATACAGATAACGTAAGCCATACGTCCTATGTCAGTCATTTTGTGAGAAAATAAAAATCTATTTGTAATCAGAAAACACATTCTTCCTATTTTAGAGGAAGTGATAGGGAAAAGGGAAGGAAAAACATACTTCAGGATATATTTGCCTGAATGTCTTTCCCGATGGAAATCCTTCTGTGATGCCCTAAAGATGATGGGACACTGGGACAGCGGAGGCCGGGCAGTGTCCAGTCCCTGTGTGGCTTCACGCCCTTCCTTCAGCTGGAGCACCCATTTCCTGCTGTAAACTGGGGCCTGGACAAGCCTACAGGGCCAGCCCCTCAGCGAAAGGGGTGTAAGGAACTGGAAGCCACACGCAGACTCAGGGAATTTACTTTGACCTCTTGTTTGAGAGAGCAGCCTTAGCCTCAAGTTCTGATTGCCAGACAGCTTAGTCCTCAAACCCTTTGGCATGAATGGGTAACCTGTGTTTGGTAGATGCTCTGAAGATCTGATTCCGCTTTTCGGTGGCCTTCTGAAGCTCAGCTGGGGTCCATGGGCAGCTGGGCAGCCTCGCAGCCCCTAGGCTGGGAAGATCGCCAGTACTTAGCGTTACTACTCCCTCCTCATGGACTAAGTTCTGCCTCTGAATCCAACCAGGGTTTTGAAAGCCCCTCTACTCGCTAGAGGGCTTCCTCCTGGGGGTGGCCTCTTGGGATTTTCGAATTTTAGCTCTTCTTAAGTAGTACCCCCTTCGTTCTGATCATTTTCCTTCATGCTTCTTCCTTTCCTGTTCCCGTTGCCTTCACATACTGTGCTCCTGTGCCGCACGGTCCTTCCTGGCCTGGAATGACCCCTTTACACCTGCCCTCATCCTTGCGCACCTGGAATGCCTCTCCCACTTCTGAGGGGCAGGCAGGAGCCCAGGTTCCCGTCAGCTTCCTTTCATGGCCCACCTTGTCTGGGAACAGTGGGCTAGACCATTCTGTGCCGTGACACCGGGTCTGTAAGGAGAGGGCTGTGAAAATGTGCGCTCGCAGGTGACGGAAGGAATGGTGAGAATTTGTGAATTGCTGCAACAATACACGTGGAGAAGTGGAAACTGTCCTCCGGTGGAGACGAGCTTGCTTTCTTCTCTACCGTTTCCCAAACCGGGACGGTCTGAAGCCTTCTGTAATGCATGCCTTTCCCGTGACACCACAGTCAAAATCGATGTTTAAATCTGCCTTTCTTCCAAACTATTTTCTTGGCCGCTGTATTTTTCCCATTAGAATGTCTGGCCAAACCAAACTGTGCTGTCAGTTTAGTCTCGTTTTCATTTCTAGCTGCAAAGCCTCTTCCGTGGGGGTTTTACTTAATTTCCATTTCAATAATGAGAAGAATAGGAACGGGAGCAATGAAACATGGGCATTTGCTCTTTAGGTTATGCATTTGCAAATTAATTTGGAGGAAAGGAGTTTTTAAAATTTCAAAAAACAAAGTTCCCAGGAGCGAGGAGCATAAAATCACCTGAGGATACTTCAGCATCTTTGCAATTTTTATTCTGCAGAAATCCAATTGCATCACTGTTCATATTGCACAAATCTCACAGTCTATTCCCAGTAGCCCAGATTTACTTATCAAGAATTAGAGTAAAGTAAAATACCCCAGGGATGTGTCTCATCTCAGAGATTGTAACGTAACAAGTAGATAATATAAATACTCCTGATGATATGCATTAACTAAGTCTCTTTATGATGAGCATTTGAGATTATTTTACATTGTTTCAATTAATATCAAGACCCCACTACTTGTGATAAAACTTCTGCAGAATATATGAGTGGTATTAGAAATAAATATTTATACAGGGCCATTATTTCAAGGGAAAGCTCGAGGAAAATGGGGGAAAATGGGACATTTACATATTTTTAAACAATGAACTACATCTGTAGGTTTGAAAGTTAAATCTTCTTGTGTTCCTTTTCAATATGTTTGGTTAGCTTTCAAATAGAAAATTTAATTTAAAGGTAAAGTGAGAAAATTGGACAATGTCATTTTTTTTTTTAAAGCTCTGTAGGACTAAAGGTTAAATTTCGATCCTGATGAAAATCTAAGTGCATTCATCCTATAAAAATGAAACAACAAATGTCTCTTTAGATCACATACCTTAAAATAAGAAAAGATTTTATTAGACAGTTAAAAATTTTATTAGACAGTTAATAAAATTTTGGGAAAATAATTCTATTTGTTTAGCTGACTCATCCCCTTGAACTTCCTTTCAGAAATCAATCATGGGAAGGCTTGGTCTAAATGTAGCTTCAGCTGGGCTCTGACTACCCTGTTGCCTGCATTGCCTCCTTCATTCCTATTGAGCTAAAGAGATAAGCTGACTTATTGCTCAGTGCTTCTGTCCCTTTCCCACAGAAGTTGGTGTCAGGCCACTTCATCTGAATGCCATCCCTTTGAATGTGTAGAAATCGCCTTCAGGAACTCCAATGGTTCTTCAATGCCACAACTTCAGAGGGTTTTAGCTTTTTACTTATTTTTATTTTTTAAAAATATATTTTATTGATTTTTTACAGAGAGGAAGGGAGAGGGATAGAGAGTTAGAAACATCTATGAGAGAGAAGAATCCATCAGCTGCTTCCTGCACAACCCCTACTGGGGATGTGCCCACAACCAAAGTGCATGTCTTTGACCAGAATCGAATCTGGGACCCTTCAGTCCGCAGGCCAATGCTCTATCCACTGAACCAAACCGGTTAGGGCGAGTTTTAGCTTTTTTGATTGAATTGAGTCGGTTATATATCTGTTTGTTCATTTGTCCTTCCTTCCTTTCATCACTCTGCTTTAGATGTTATCAGCCCAGGCCACAGCTAACCAAGCTCTTTCTAGCCGTGGCCCTCTTTTCTCTTCGCATTTTCCCATTTATTTGGTTAGGTTTTGGTACCCCCTCATTTCCACTCAATAAACTCCTCTGAACATGTACGTATTAGAGTTAAAGTGCTTCATAGTCATTTTGAGGCTATCCTCCAAGGTACTTCCCTCTTAAGTTTCCTCTAAGTAAGGAGCAGCAGAGACTGCAGGCTTAAGGAAAGGCTCGGCACTTGTGAGAATTGATGCCTTGCCTCTGCCCTACTTTCCCAACCTTCTCAGGAGTTTCAGTGGCCAAATGTAGAGGGCTACATATGATTTTTATTTCTTCTAGAGCATGCCGGTGCTTTGCATATGGGAAGTGTTTATTTTATTTATTTTATTTTAAATCAGTGTGATTGGGGTGTAATTCACATAGCAGGCACACGTTGTGCCCATTTTTAGTTCATGTTTATAGTGGGCATCCAACTTCATTCTTTTACACTTGTCTATCCAGTGGTCCAAGAATCACTAATTTGGAAAGACTGTTCTTTATTTATTGTTTTCATCTTCCTGCCCTTGTTGAAAATAAGTTGACCATAGATATGTGGGTTTATTTCTAGACACTCTTTCAATTCACTTTCATTGTTTATAGGACTGTCATTGAGCTAGCATCGCACAATTGCTTACTATTGCATTGCATTTTTTTTTATTTTAATATATTTTATTGATTTTTCCACCCTCCCTCCCTCTCATTCATACCCTCCCTCCCCAGAGTTTTATGTCCATTGGTTGTACTTATATGCATATACACAAGTCAAGTTTTGAAATAAACTACCTTTTTCATCCTTTCCAACATTAGTTTGACTGGTTTAGGTTTGTTGCTATTCCATAAGAATTTTAGACAGCTTATCCATCATAAAAAAGTCAGCTGGGTTTCTGACAGGCATTTCATTCCATCTGCACATCAATTTGAGGAGTATTGCCCTTTTAACAATATTGTCTTCCACTCCATGAACATGAAATATTTTTCTCTTATATAGCCTTTCTTTAATATCTTTCAACAGCATTTTGTACTTTGCAAATTATAAATTTTGTACTTCTTTGTAAATAATTTATTCCTAAGTAGTTTATCCTGTTTGAAGCTATTGTGAATGGGATTGTTTTTAAATTGCAGGTTCAGGTTATTCATTGCAAATGTCTACATATATAGTTGATTTTTGTATATTCATTTTGTATCCTGCAACTTTGCTGAACTTGTTTAATAATAGTTTTAGTTTATAATAAGTGTGTGTGTGTGTGTGTGTGTGTGTGTGGGTGTGTGTGTGTTAGTGGATTTGTTGGGATTTTTGGTGATCAATTTATTAGGAAATGAAAAATGAATCACATCAGTATAAGAGCCTTTACATCCCACTTATTCTGCTCAGTTTGGGCAACAGTCCTCTGGAATTACTGCATTAGTTGTTTTGGGGTTCCTCCCTTCCCAACCCCTTTTCTCGCTTTTCTCTGCCACTCAGGGTATCATTGGCACCTGTGAGCCCTTAAGGATTGAAACCTGATGATTAATGGACTGGGGTATTTTGAATATTCATTCCTTTGCTGAGTTGTAAAGGGTTTTTCTAAATGATTACTGATCTATGTAATGGCAGTATCAATTTCAACATTTGGTTATTGGAGTAGCAAAATCTAATTTGATTCTAAAATTCTTGGGAATAATATAGTGCTATATGACATTTTCCTGATGATCAAAGTGACTTTCTTAATATTAAAACATAATCTATCTAGTAATTTATACTTATTATTATTATTATTATTATTATTATTATTATATTAAAGGTCAGGATTAGTTAAGGTAAGCTGAGACACAGTAGTCGTTTCCAAACAACTGTACCCATTCAGGCAGATTGAACAAAGAAAACGACACGTGGGAAATGCAATTCTTAAAGATTCAGCTGTCTTACAAAGTTCCCTTAACTTAGCATCATGGAATTTGTTTCGGATAAAATGAACTAGTATACACTCAAACCTAAAAAAAAACGCTTAATTTTGCTACCATCTAGAGGCAGTTACTTCACGCATGCTGCCTTTATCATATTTTCTCCAAATATATTTCCAAAGTAGATATGAAACAAAAGGGAAAGGTGGGTGGTTTCTTTGAATATAATTTTTTTGTACTTTCCTAAAGATTGTACATTCCCTAGTGGGTGTTATGCATGTATTGTGAGATTAAAATATATTTGTCTGCTACTTAGTGCATCTGAAATATGCTTGAAGATGGAAATAGAGTTATTTACTTAGATGGATACTGGGGAATTGGGTGCTCTATTGAAAAAATGTATTGCATATATTTTTAAAGTATCATTTTTATAAGTTTAGTTAAATTCTTTGTCCTTAGGATAATATTAGAATAGCATTTTAATTGAGCTGCATTCAGTTCATAGGACAGTTTAAATTTAGACTAATTATAAAACATGAAGCAGCACTTCTTTTAGCAACTTCATTACCTATAATTTGGATATTTAGAACAGCAGTGTTTTCTTTATACTTCAAAAGTATTTTCTTATTTTGTCTCTGAAAACCTCTAAACCTACATATCCAAGCCCCCAAGCCCCAATTAATTAAAGGTATTTTGTAGTCCCATTTCATAAGCTACAGTTCTTTTTAATTATTGGTTAATTTGAAAAATATAATATTATATAATCTCTTTAATAAAGGATGATCTATTGGGTATTTAGTTTTATTAATTTTTCTTTGGTGTTAAATTGTTTTTTCCTTAATTTAAAGTAATAGCTTACAGACATACTGTGCTATTTGAATTAGAAAATCATTAGTCACTCCTCAAAAATATTTGAACATTTTTAAGAAATATTTTATTGATTTAGAGAAGAGGAGAGGAAGGGAGGAAAGGAGAGAGGGAGAAGAAGAAGAGGGAGAGGGATAAAGAAGGAGGGAAGGAGGGAAAGAAAGGACAGACAGACATCGATTTGTTCCACTTATTGATGTATGCTTGTATAGTTGCTTCTTATATGTGCCCTGACCTGGCAGCTAGCCCGCAACCTTGGCATATGTGGATGATGCTCTAACCAACTGAGCTACCTGGCTGGGGCTTCAAAAATATTTTTAATTTCATTGTTAGGAGAAGTTGAGGAAGAGATTAAATTGGTGGACAAGTGTGTGTGTTGCTGGGGGAGGGGGGGAACTGCAGTGAATTAAATGGAAAAAAAATTGAATTATTTTTCAGTTATAACTTATCAACCATTGTGTCCTGTAATTGGATCGGAAGAGCCACTCTTCCTACAAGAGCATCATAAATAAGCACATAAGAAGGCTAGGATCATAGAAGTTGTGCTTTTCTAGAGAGGACTTTTCTTTAGTTTTTCTATGAAAGATCTGTATCTGTCTCCCTGCCTTTGCTCCCCTCTTCCCTGGTCTGTCTGCTTCCCACGCCTTGTGAAAATGTCTGTTCAATACCTAAGTCAGTACTGCCACCTTGTGAATTTTTCCTTAATTTCATCTGACTCCCATTGGGCGTCTCTGATCTGTAACTCACCGCTTTGGTCTTCCTCACGTCTGCATGTTTTAGCTCCCCGCTTTGGTTAGAAGCTCTTCCTGAGCAGGAGCTTCGTGTCTTCAGTTTTTCTCCTATTAATGGTCTCTCCTCGATAGCCAGTGCATTGGAATATTCACGTAGTTAATATGACAGCTGTCCCTGACAAGACTAAAAAATTAAATCACTGTCTGCTAAAAAGAGATTAAAAATTGGCTCTCGTGGTTTCTGTTTCACATCCATAATTTTAGTGTTGGCTTTGCCAGAGAGATTTGAGAATTTATTAGCTGAGGGTTTAGAATGAAATGTCATTTCCCCATTGTATGGTGTTTGATGGTCATATGTTTTTTAAAACACGTTTTCATGGTTTCTTTTTTTATCTTCTTATTTTTGCAGCTTTTGTCGTTCCTTCAGGGCTTGTTTACTTTTTACCATGAGGGATATGAACTCGCCCAGGAATTTGCACCATATAAACAACAGCTGCAGTTCAACTTGCAGAATGTAAGGCTGTACCTGTTCTCACTGCCTCTTTAGTGAATCAGATGGTCAACTTAGGTTCAAACCAGGCCAAACCAGGGAGTCTTTCCAAACTTTATCTCATACAGCAAAACCTCATTGATTTAGAAAAGCCACATTATACATTTATTTGAAAATGCTTTGATTTCTAACTACTGGTTGAAAGTACAGCAGGAAAGAGCCAATCTTAATATTAGGAAAATGTATACAAGAATATAGGTATTATAAAATTGGAGGCCGGGTGCACAAAATTCTTGCACTGGGTGAGGGGCCGGGTGCAGGTCCCCTTAGCCCAGCCTGCACCCTCTCCAATCCAGGACCCCTCAGGGGATGTCCTACTGTTAGTTTAGGTCCAAACCTGGGGATTGGACCTAAACCGGCAGTAGGACATCCTTCTCACAATCCAGAACCACTGACTACCTACTGCTCACCTGCCTACCTGCCTGATCACCCCCAACTGTCCCCCTGCCAGCCTGATCATCCCCAACTGCCCCCCCTGCTGGCCTGGTTGGCCCTTGCTGCCCCCTCCCCCACCGGCCTGGTCTCCCCAAGCAGGCTGTTCGGTCGTCCATTTGGTTGTGATGGTCACTTGGGCTTTTATATATAAAGATAAATACTGCTGAGATATAGATGCCAAGGCATTTGGGAACTTTTGCCTATACCCAGCGTTATTACTTAACTGGGTGAACTTAGATATGTTGTATTTTCTGAGAGGATAGCATTTATTTATGAAAGGATGGTTGTACTGTAGCATTCTGATGCCCCATCCATCTATGAAACTGCATATAATAAATCTGATATTTATTACTTTCAGATAATAAATTTGAACATGGTTTAAAATATTCAAAAGTAACTTTTAAAGCTTGAGTAAGAATTATTTACAAACATCCTATCCATTTAATATTCAAAAGCAATTGTTTTAAAGCTTAAGTAAGAATTATGTACAAACATCCTATCTATTTCTGTCAGGCTTTATTTTTGTAAAGTTGTCTAATCAATCCTTTTGGTATCTGATTACAGAGTTATAGAATTACATAGCTGCTGAACACCACGTTAAAAAAAATTAGCCAACACATTTTCTTGTTGTCAAAGTCTGACAAATAATGACCTTCCAATTGTTCAGGGTTTTGTAGAAGTGAGAAGTTATTTCTAAAACCCTGTCTAGTGCTCTATAGCTAAAATAAACCTGAAAGCACTCACTTAATTTTTTATAAAAAAAAAAATTGGCCTTCACTGTTTATCTGAGTTTTGCCATTGTGAATATGTCCAATAAATAGAGCTATTGAGTTGAAGGGTCCCAGGAGCAATATGTAATTGGATTGGATTTATTCTACTTGTGTTTTGAGTGTTAGCTTTTTATTTAACCTAGATTTTCTTGCAGAATCGATCTCATATGCAATTCAGTCCATTGTTTTTCAATATGGAATGCATTTGGGCTTTTTCAGTAAATATAATATTAAAAGAGATGATTATTATAGTTAAAGTATTTTTATGACTTATCTAATATTAAGCGTCATTAACTTAATATTCCTGGGATTTGGCAACAGGTAAGGAATAAGGAAAAAAAACAAATGTGATCCTTATGATGAAAAAAGAAAAGTAGCAAAAGTGGCAATTAAGAAAATTCAATTATTTTATTATGGGTCATAACAAAATCTTAAGTTAGGCAGTGATGATTTTTATGTTTTCAAATGTGTATTGTTGAGATAATAACACTGTGGCTTGATTTCAAAACATATTTTACCTTAAGTAAATTTTCTGTAATGTGAATAAACTATTTCTTGCAAATCTATCCTTTTTTTTTATGAGTTAGTTTATATACTGACCTCTTGATAACTATGTTAGGATTCCTGGAAACCAAGCTAAGCTATGTTTTTTTCAAAAGTATTTGAAACAAGGGCCATGTACTTTGTTTTAAATAAGTTCTACATATATAAAAATGTGTGAATTTAATTTGTTTTTATTCCCCCAAAAGAAATATAAGTCCCTAAGTATCTGCTTTTTAACCTCAGGCATTAGTGTTATAAAATTATATTGAGTAAATATTACATAATTTAAAATGCTATAATTGGCCACTATGTAGTAATATTAGAGTGGGAAATGAGAAGAAGCACACAACATGCACGCACATGTGCACACGCGTGCGCGCGCGCGCACACACATACACACACACACAGATGGAGATTGAGAAACATGCAGAAGTTTCACTAAAGCCATTGAACATCAGCTGTAGGACTCAACATAGAGTGTCATGGAGGTGGGTGAGCAGTGCTGAAAGAATCAAGGTTATCCTTTGCATAGTTTGCAGTTTTGAAACTTTAGGTTCTGAGTTCCTAAAACGGGTAGGAAAGAAAACTGAATCTGTTATTTTTATTTACTCAAGACGAGGAACAATTTTGAAAGTACTCGACAAGAGGTAGAGCGGTTGATGCAAAGGATGAAGTCTGCCAACCAAGATTACAGGCCGCCCAGCCAGTGGACGATGGAAGGCTACCTTTACGTCCAGGAGAAACGTGAGTCGCAGAAACACAACCTAATGTCTCTATGGTTAACATTCTGTTTCCACAAGACATGACTTGGGTAGTATTCCTTTACGTAGAGATGGAAACCCTTTACAGTTTATGGTATTTAGTCAGCACAGCCACCGTCACCACCAAAGAAAGGAAGCCTTTTCACATCTCACCATCAGCAACTCTGAGTTTATATTGTTGAACTTGGAACTTACTAGGACAACCTTTTGCTAATGATGGGGAAACATGAATTCAGTTTTAGAATTTATTGTGATATCTAGTCTCAACTTAAAGTTTGGTGGAAAGTGAAAAATCAAAGCCTTTTTCAGGATGAGTCATCCTGGTGACTGTGATAAGTGTTCCCTTCCAACCACATCGTTCCATTGACCTGTGCGTTTTCTCAGTTTCCAGGAATAAAATTGGCAATTGTGTAATGTCAGACTGCACCGTTTGATAATTGAGGTTAGGAAATAAGCATCGGACCCAATAGAGCACGATTATAATTGCCTCACACTAAGAAAGTTTATCTCACAGAAATAAATACAAAGCCATTCAGAATTGTCTAACAAGGGTGCTTTCTGAATGATACTTGTCACTAAGTGGGACCAGTCTAAATTAACTATTTCAAATCACATATGCCCTAAAGCACCATTCTCATACTCTTCATGGTGAAGGAACACCCCCCCCCTCGCCCCCCCTCCAATCCATCATGGACCAATGTCTTTGTAAAACACAAAATCATGTGATTGGATTTTGCAGAAATGTCAAATTGCTGTAAATAGCACGCACCACAAAACAAAAACAAAAAAAACCTGAAATGCTTATTTTTACTTTCTGTATTTTTCACATTTATTGGGGCCCACCAGCCACATGAAATGGTGCTGTTCTCAAGTACCTCTGTCTGTACACAAGAGGGTGATGGAATGCTTTGGTTAGTAAGATATTAAAGGGTTTGGGATGGGGACATTGGAGATATCAGGTCTGTTATAAGTGTTTCGACATAGAGCAACACAATCACTAAAATGCAACCCCGTGTGTATTTGACATGCTCAGGCAATGCTCAGTGGCTGGCTGGTCGTATGCAAGAAAATAAGGATTTGATCTGACAGACATGGCCGATATTCATTGCTGTGTTAGATGGTAGAGGGCTGCTGGCTCAGGGGAACTGGGTTCTGGGAGTTCCTCTGATAGCTGTCTACTTTCAGATATTGGAATGATAACTCTAGTGCCCCTCCTGGGAAGGCCCCTAAGCAGGGTGGCCTTTGAGACTCTCACAGTCAGACTCTCCTCTCTGTCTAGCATCCTCCTCTTTTATGTTGCCTTCTTGCCCCCAAGACACGTTCTCTCTCGATTTTCTCTGTATCCCCTGCATTATCTTATCTAGACAGCTTCAGTGAAGTACAATTGACATATAATAAATCGCACATACTTAAAATCTACAGTTTGAAGAGTTTTGCCCTAAGTGTATGCCTGTGAAACCATCACCACATTCAACCTTCAGAAGTGTTCTCCAGCCCCGGTATAATCCCTCTCTCCTTCTTTTTCCCATTGACCATCCTCCCTCTCTCCTCTTACCTAGGGATTTAAAAAGAAAAACTCATGGATTTATACGCCTTTGGAATTATTTTTTACAGAAGGGACCAATATTCAAAGCCCCTTCCCACTGGGAATCGTTGAAAGCATTTACAATTCAAAAATTTGACCTGTCCACGAAGACTTATCTATTGAGCTGTTGCTATCACAGAGGATAAGTCCTGTGGGGAACAGAAAATGAGATGAAGACATGGCTTTGGGCTGTTTATTCTGTAGTGGAAGGCATGAGGCTCACCAGCAGTCAGCAGCCAGTGATCAATAGTAGCTATCAGAGCTGTAAATGGAGTGACAAATGGAGGTGGCTGGGATGGGGCAGGGGCAGATCATGGCAGACAGGACACAGAGCTCCCGCTTGTCTGGAGATGCGGTTGCTATGTTACCCACCTCTAGCCACACATTACGTTTCATTCTAATAGGCTCGAGGTTAGCCTGGGCTCCGCAGCCAGACGGAACTGCGCTGGAATGTCATGCCTGCCCCCTGTTAACTAAAGACGCTGAGCGGATGGCTTTCTGAGCTCACTCTCCTCGTTTGTGAAAGAAGGAGATTTATACTTACCTTGTAAGGGTGTTGCAGGATTTGGAGATAATGTATGTAAAATGTCTCTATTATCATCGACGGTGCATAATATGACTACTATGCATACCGGTATCTCTTACGGCTCCTTGCAATTTATGTTTATCTCACTTATAATTCTTAAAATAACTCTTGAGAGATGGTATTCCCTAAAAAGAAAAACTCCCATCAAATGCCCTATTGATGAAGAAAGCAGTACCATCTGCAATTCTAATGCTCCGTTCCCTTATATGTAAAATGGCACTATAATGTATCCCTTAAAAAGTTCTTAGGTCAAATTTTAGCACTTAAAAAGTGTTCCATGAATGTTCATTTCCTCCCATCTTGTAAACATCATCTCAGCAACCTCACATGATTACTGGGTAAAATAATTAAACTTTTTTAGATTTTATTTTGCTACTTTAGAGCTATAATAAATTTTTATTTTCCAAGACTGTTTCTTATGGACTTCAGAATTGTTGGTGTAACAACATCTGCCTGAGCCCGGGGCCAGGCAGACCTTAAAGGAAGCAGCACGTGTGTGCAGCAGACTTGAAGGTTAAGTGCTTGAGATGCTGAACTTACGGTGGAGACAGGAAAGAAAAATTGAACTGAGGCCTCACATGTCAGCAGAACATCACTGTGGCCATACTTAAAAAAAAAAAAAAAAAAAAAAAAATAAATAAATATATATATATATATATATATATATATATATATATATATATATAAAATTGATTTTTTACAGAGAGGAAGGGAAGAGGGATAGAGAGTTAGAAACATCGATGAGAGAGAATCATTAATCAGCTGCCTCTTGCACACACCCCACTGGGGATGTGCCCGCAACCAAGGTACATGCCCGTGACCGAATTGAACCTGGGACTTTTCAGTCCGCAGGCCAACGTTCTATCCACTGAGCCAAACCGCTTTCGGCTATGGCCAAACTTGATGGCTAATCCTGCCTCCTACGCCGCTGAGTAGTCAAGTCACTGTAAGGCTTTCCATCCAACCACTTCCCGCTCATCAGCTCTAAGCCTTTAAGTGTTTTACACCACACGGAACAGAATTCTCAGCAAGCATCGCTAAGTATTATAGTGTAAAATGCTCCCCAGACAGAACTGAAGTTAATTGCAAAAATCTTTTGTGATGACAAAGTGCACCGCCGAACCCCATCATTTCAAAATCTGGAGCGGCTAGAGCATTAACGCCTCAGGACACCACAGGCAGTGTTATTGCAGAAAAAATAAATTCAAACGGCTCATGCAGCCCTTTCCTCAAGAGGCGCACTTTCACACTCACATTTCTTGCTTTTGAATATACGGTTATGAGGCAAAGGGAGCAGTAATGCTGTGCATAATTGTTGCTGGAAAGATCCAGGTGTTAAGCAGGAGAGAAGCTGCCTAGAAATCAAGCTCCGTCTTCAAGGCTCGCGGCCCCTGTGACATTTGGACACGGGATCATTGGCTTCCCTGTGGGAAAACTGAAGGTCGCCCACTTGGTCACAATGCATCCCTCTACCCTGGCCATACAGCAACGTGCCCTTCCTTAAAGAGAATATAGGACTGTAATGGGGGTGCTGTGGGAAAGAGTTGCACAGTATTTATGGGGAAAAGGGAGCACTATTCATATACAACACATTGTGCTATAAATAGTGAATGAAACATTTTTGTTTTTTAATGTTTTTAAAAAAATATATTTTATTGATTTTTTTTACAGAGAGAGAGAGGGATAGAGAGTTAGAAACATCGATGAGAGAGAATCATTGATCAGCTGCCTCTTGCACACCCCCTACTGGGGATGTGCCCGAAACCAAGGTACATGCCCTTGACGGGAATCAAACCTGGGTCCTTTCAGTCTGCAGGCCGATGCACTATCCACTGTGCCAAACTGGTTTCGGCCATTTTCATTTTAAGAAGTTATTTAAATTCACGTTTCCTTTTAAGATTAGTGATAAGGGCAAATAACTCGACGGTCAATAAAGTCTTAGAGAAAGACGAGTGGTTCTTTCCTTTTCTTTCGTATGTCAAATATTTATTGAGTGACATCTATGTATCTGGCTCTGCTCTACGGATTAAGAATGTACCAGTCAGCAGAACATCATGCTTTCCTGCTCTGAGAGAGTTAGAGTCTAGTGGCAGAGACAAGCAGTAAGTCGGATACATCAGTAGAATTTAGTGATAACTTAACACATGTGTCAAACACAAGGCCCGCGGGCCAAATCCGTCCCGCCAGGCCTTGCAATGTGGCCCGCACCGCGCTGTCATCACTGCACTCCGCTGCGTTTCCATCACAATGACAGTTTATGACTGTTCAGTAAACCATTCGGCCCGCGATTTAGGCTGGATTTTAGATTTTGGCCCCTTCTCTGATTGAGTTCGACACCCCTAACTTAGAAGAAGAAGAAAGTACAGCAAATATCAGGTCAGGGTGCTGCTGAGTGGGCTGTCTCAGGAAAGGTAGTAGTACAGAGGAGACATTTAGGAAAGGTCCTGAAGGAAGCCACAGTGCAGGCCGTGCTGATCTCTGGGGGAAAAGGAGTGCAGGCTGCTTCAGATGCTGAGTAGAAATGCATCCGCTGTGTTTAGGGACCAGCAAGGGGCCAGTGTAGCTGGAGCAGAGTGCATGAAGCACAGGGTAGTAAGATGTGAAGGGAGAGCCTTAGGGAGGGGCCTTGTGGGTTGTCACAGGATCTTTGCTGTTTCTCTGGGGTAATAAGGGAAACCACTAGAGGGTTTCCCACAGAGGGGTCACATGACCTTGCTAAATTTTTAGCAGTTTCAAGAACAGGGCAAGTAGGAGACCAGTGGTAGTAACTCAGACTGTTATTCCTCTTTCTTCCTACTTCTATGGGATGTAAGTACCGCTTTTATAGATGAGACAACTGAAATCAGATCCAAAGAAACTCTTGAGTTTATAGTGAAAGCTTCAAGTAAGGCCTCGTTGCTCCATTTCAAGACACTCTATCCCACACCACTCTCTCTTCATACTTGCCCTTCTCACTGTCATTCAATAAAAGTTCCACACTTACATGGTCTGTGGAAATACTTAATTGTATGTTGTAGCATCGAAAACTACAGCCCAGCTGGTGTGACTCAGTGGTTGAGCGTCTTCACCTATGAACTAGGAGGTCGCAGTTCGATTCCCAGTTAGCACATGCTGGATCGTGGGCTCGATCCCAGGTGTGGGGCATGTAGGAGGCAGCCAGTTAATGATTCTTTCTCATCATTGATGTTTCTAAGCTCTCTCTCTCCCCCTCTCTTCCTCTCTGAAATCAATAAAGAGAAATATTTTTTTAAAAAAGCAAAACCAAGCAAACGTGAACACTAGTCACTTACTAACAGTCTGTAATGTTTGTTTCCTTGCTTAGGACCACTTGGTTTTACATGGATTAAGCATTATTGCACATATGATAAAGGAAGCAAAACATTTACAATGAGTGTTTCAGAAATGAAATCCAGTGGGAAAATGGTGAGTTTTTGGTTTTATTTTTAACTGAAGTTATTATTCAAGAAATGGACAACATAAACTGATGAGCAAAAGTAAACCCAGAAACACAGAAGCATCAAATAGACTGTCAAACCCAGAGGGAAGGTAGGGGAGGGTGGGTGGGAAGAGATCAACCAAGGAATTTGTATGCCTACATGTATAATCCATGAATACCAATAATAGGGTGGGTGAAGGCCTGGTTTGTGGTGGGGGTTGGGGAGGAAGGGGTGGGCTGGGAGAGGTCAATGGGGGAAAAAGGGGACATATGTAATATTTTCAACAATAAAGAATTTAAAAAAAATACAAAACAAGTTAGAAGTTTTTTAAAAAGAAAAGAAATGGAAGTAAGACAAACAAAACCCACTCATTTTTCTAATAAACATGTGCACAGTTTTTAAAAATTGAAAAGCCAGAAAAGTTGCTCTCACTTTGGTGACCTTGATGACTTAAGAAGGGTGGCCAGGATTTTCCTTTACGGAGGCCACGGCATGCTTTAAGCAATTGAATCAAAGGCAGAGGCCCAGGCCATCTCATAACCCTGGGAGTGGACTTGTTACCGTGCTGTTGCTTGGCCACCAGGCCCAGATCTGCATCTTTTCCCAGGTGCCTCTGGGGAGGCTGCCTCTGCCCCGGGAACCTTTCCATCCTCTGCCCCGAGGACTGTTTGCTGAACTGCTGGCCTAGCAGAGTTCCTCAGAAGAAATCAACCAATGCTCATTCCCCCCCAAAGTAAATTGGCCACTGAATGTCGCACATGGCTAGTGAACAATATGGAACATAGTATACCTTTTTATTTTTATTTTTTTTAATATATTTTATTAATTTTGTACAGAGAGGAAGGGAGAGAGATAGAGAGTCAGAAACATTGATGGCAGAGAGTCACAGACCAGCTGCCTCCTGCACACCCCCTACTGGGGATATGCCCGCAACCAAGGTACATGCCCTTGACCGGAATCGAACCCGGGACCCTTCAGTCCCCAAGCCGACGCTCTATCCATTGAGCCAAACCGGTTTTGGCCATAGTGTACCTTTCTAAAGATCATTTAAGTCTGGCTTTATTTTAACAGATTAGAAAATCAAGATGGTAGAAAGTAAGTGACTTGCCCAGCTAATCTGGGAGGGGCCGCGAGGGAAAGGTCATGGCAGGTAAATGTTGGTCCTTGACACATGCTCAAATACATCAGTTGAAATTTATTGTGCTTGGACATTCATTAGAGTCTAATAATTCAAAGGGAGAGACATAAAATAAAGGACAACTTGCCAGAGTAAATGGATTCATAAGAAAAACTATTGCCAGAAAGCTAGTTTATGTGGCAGCCAGTGAGCTAATATCAAATAGACCCCACCAAAATTCTGTTAGTAAATCTATGATATTTTCAATAGACAAAAGAATTATTTAGACATTAGGCAAACTGTTTTTGGGCGTGCCTAACCCATGCCCTGTGTATGTTATAGGTGTTCTTATTAAGTTTATCTTCCTCTTCAAAAACTGTAATGGGCATGTACTTTTAGACTTATTCTTATAATTGATTGGCATGTCAGGTACATAAGAAAATGCTTATTTATTGAACCTATGTTGGATCCTATCCAAAGAGTTTTAGTGATAGTAGCAGAATAGCAATTGGTTACCAACAAAGCAATCACATGGTATGTATGATAACAATAGCATCATAGCAACTGTATACCTAAATTTTATTATTGTAGTAGCTATTTTGAGGTTTTCAGCCGGCTGTCGTTTAATATTATAAGGCTCTAATACTAAGACACACACAATACTAATCTTTTAGCAGTCTAGGAAATTTTTATTCAGAGCAACAGTGTAGTATCCTGACAAACATTCTGGATATCTAATTGTGACATAACTGTAACTGTAATTTCACACCTTTTTTTTTTTAATATATTTTATTGATTTTTTACAGAGAGGAAGAGAGAGGAATAGAGAGTTAGAAACATCGATGAGAGAGAACCATCGATCAGCTGCCTCTTGCACACCTTCCACTGGGGATGTGCCTGCAACCAAGGTACATGCCCTTGACCGGAATCGAACCCGGGACCCTTCAGTCCACAGGCTGACGCTCTATCCACTGAGCCAAACCGGTTTCGGCTAATTTCACACCTTTTATAAATTGAACTCCAAAGGCATGTGTATTAGAGTGCAATTTAACATTATAAATAAACTAGAGGCACAATGCACAAAATTCATGCAAGGGTCTCAACCCTTGCAACCCTGGCTTCATCTGGAAGGTCATCCAGAAGGATGTCCAGAAGATCATTTGGCTGTCTCATCTAATTAGCATATTATACTTTTGTAATTAAAGATACTAGAGGCCCAGTGCATGATTTTGTGCACAGGTGGGGTCCAGCCAGATCGGGATGGGCCTGTTGGGAGGAGAAGATGGTGAAAGGTTGTCCAGCTGGCCTGCCCCAATTGGGCCTGATCAGGGTTGGGGGGCTAGGAGAAGGGGCCACAGGTGACTGGCCAGCGGGCGCTGCCCCCAATAGGGTGGGGAACCAATTGGCGGTGGGGCCAGCCATGGGGAAGGGCTGTGGGGGTGTTGATGGGGGACCATATACCATGGGTGGTTGGCTGGCTGGCCCTGCCCCTGGCCAGGGGAAAGACTGTGGGCCAATCAGGATGGTGGGGGCCATAGGGAAGGGGCTGCAGGAAGTTGGCTGCCAGACCCACCCTCTATTGGGGTGTGGGAGTGTGATCAGGGGCAGGCTGGCAGGGGGGAGGGCCTGCAGGCTTATGGTGGTGGGGTGGGCTGATGGGGAGCAGGGCTGGCTGGGGGAAGGGAAGGGAGCATTTGGCCAGTGGCCCTCTCTTGATTGGGGTGGGAGAGTCCAATCAGGGCAGGTCGGCAGTGGGGAGGGGTCATGAGGTTGGCTGGCCAGTCCCACCCCCTGATTGGGCCGGTTCACTGGCCACACTGGGCATCATAGCAGTCAGTCATTAGAGTCATTATGGTCCTTATGGTCACTGGCTTTTTATATATATATAGATGTTGAGGTGGACTAGACAGCCATGCTACAGAATCCTTTGAATGAAACACATATATTCAATGAACCTATTAATGTACAGTTTGGAATATTATAATTGGGCAATTGACATTCGGCAGAAAGTCTTGTTTATAGGACATGGTGTGATTATGGCCTTGATACATACTCTGTGCTCTAAGTTTGCATATCAGTGCCGCATTTTTATGTCGAAGATTGAATGTTTTTCAGCTCGCCTCGTCATCGTGATAACATATGTTCCCCTTCTTGTTTCAGAACGGCCTTGTCACCAGCTCACCAGAAATGTTTAAATTAAAATCTTGTATCCGACGAAAGACAGATTCAATTGACAAACGGTTCTGCTTTGACATAGAAGTAGTTGAAAGGTTTGTGCTTTTCTTTTTTACTCTACATCTACTTGTTCCTATGTTTAAATATAAATACAAAGCAGCATACAAGTGCTTGTTTTCCAATCTCTTTAAAAACAGTGTGCGTATTTATTTCATTTTTTTTTTACGTATTCATTTGACAAATACATATTGCAGGATTCTTTAAAAAACATAATCAGACACAAAATGCTAGCAAAAAAAGTCACACAACTTAAAGCAGAATCTGGAAAATCAGTATAAATGACAGAATTAGAGGAAAGTGCATGCGGGGGATTTGGAGAGCCTGTCACACTGAAGGAGCCTAATAGCATGGTCCTGGCTCCTCAGTCAGCCTGTTTGTAGGCATCTGTGGAGCCTGGGGGCCTTGCTTCCAAGGAATAATAAGCTGGGAATTCACGAGTTCTGTCCGCCACTGAAAGGGAGGGTGTGCCCTGTGCAAAGCGCTGTCCAGGACTCTCCGCCACAGGATGAGGGGGAGACATAAATGTTGTGAACTGAGTTTATATCAATAATTTAGTGGGGATAGTTAGCTCTACCCCTTTCTTGGGTCAATACAAGCAGAAGAGACACAAAATGAAAAGGGGTGTGCTTTTTTATTTTTATTTTTTAACTATTTCATGGTCCATTTTTCTCCGCCTGCATTGCTATCATATCTTCTCAATACTCTAGTTTTGTGTGTGGGCTCTATATATACTATGCCATACTATTTATATATACTCTTACATACGATATATATGATCGCTTACGTGTACCATGGCTTATAACTATCTAGTAGGGCAAGACTCCCATTCTTATGCTTCTTTAACATTGTGTTACCTATTGTGGCCCTGTGTTCTCATATGTTATAGATTTTCTTATTAAGTTTATCTTCCTCTTCAAAAAACTCCCTTGGGATTTTTGACTGGAGTTATTAAGTAACTGATGGAGAATTGAACCCTCCTTAAAGTTTTACATATTATTTTTTAGACTTATTCTTAGGTATTTTCTTTTTATTACGCTTTTGGATAGAACTATTTTCATTAATTGAAACTCTTTTTTTCTAAATGGTTCAGACTACTGTCTAGAAAGACTATTATTTTTGTTTATATAATAATTGATAACCAGTGTAATTGTTGAACTTATTGGTTTTAATAGTTGTGTGGTAGGAATTTCTTGATTTTCTATGTTGACAAATACCAACATGTTAATGATTTCTCTTTTTTTATTTTTATTTTAGCCTTTTCTAGTTATATGACTATGGAGCACATTGTTAAACTATGCTTTAGTGGTCTCATGTAAAATAAAAATAATAATTACCCACCTCAAAGGAAACAACACAATGCCTGGCACATACTAAATAGCAAATACTAATTATTGTTATTCTATTCTTTGTGTTGTTAGACTGGTTCAAATATAAAATTACCTCAATTTTTATACATGTTTTTTCTTTTCCTGTGTAATGACCTATTTCCCTGTTTAAAGAAGAGATGTATGCATTTATCATAGTGTTAAGTCATTCAGGTTTTTAAATATACAATATTTAAATGAAATTTCCTCCTAACTAGGTTAATTCCCCTCGTTTTTGGATTTCATATCTTTTTCTCTCTCAGATCAAATTCCTCCCTTCCTTTGCTCGCTCTGTCTCTCTTGAAGTTCATCTTATTTCACAACTAGTTTTGGGAGATAATTATTTTTAAGTGAAATAATTTTAATATTGGGATCATGGTATAGAAAAACCCTTTGGTTTTAGAATCTTAACAATTAACTAGTTATGATCTGAGGCTTTCCACGTTGCTATATACTCACTGTAATTAATTTTAGTGACTGGATTGTACCACATTGAGGTCATAATCTAAGTTATCCTCATCTTGTAGAATATTTAGGTGGTTTTGAACTTGGTTGAATGTAGCTATCATCCTTTTTAGTCATTTCAGGGGAAATAAATGAACTCCCTCCTTCAAACAGACTTGTACTTGGAACACTGAATTATTTTACTACCTCCGATCATTAGAATGAAGAATATCTGTGTGTTGGTGTGGTGGTATACAGTGATTTTTCTGAAAGATACATGTAGGTCAATTTTTTTCCTTTTTTCTCCTTTTTCTTTTCTCTTTTTTCTATTTCTTTTTTCTCTTCCCTGATTTTTCTTCAAATTTTACTTTTATAGCTAAGTAAGATTTTTAAACATTGCAAATGTGTAAAGACACAGCTGGAATAAATTGAAAATATAAAATATTTGTTTTCATTAGGCATGGGATCATCACATTGCAGGCCTTTTCAGAAGCAAATCGGAAACTCTGGCTCGAAGCCATGGATGGGAAAGAACCAGTAAGAATATAACACATTTTATTTAGGTTTTATTGTTCTAAAAATTACAAAGTATGTCTGGGAAAAAAATACATCTGAATTTTTTATTTGTCTGTATTATATTTGAAAACATTAAAATAGCATTAAAATAGAAGCTTACTATTTTCCTGGTGTTGTCTTGCTCACTGACACACAGCAACCAACTTTGTAATTTGTTTCTCAGGAGGACTTTCAGGACTAAAACCCTAAAATTATTTATTAAAAATTACTTCTAATAATTAATTTGGCTTCACTGATTGGATTATTCTCTTCAGATAATCATTTTGAATGCCCAGTATTTGCACTGTCTTTGTAATTGGCATGATAAACAAGGTGACTAACCCTCTAGTCTTATTTGGTAAAACTACCTGTGAGTTGACATTTTCTTCTCATCCATATCCTTATTTTTCTAATAGTTATTTTGATGTTGGCATGATAACTTACAGTTATTAGGGAGTTCTCTGTAAAAATAAATAAGTTATTACTTACTGTCTGTTTTCTTTATAAAGAACATGGCTTTAGATTAGTGGTTCTCACTTTTTTAATGCAGCGACCCTTCAGTACAGTTCCTCATGTTGTGGCGACCCACAACCATAAAATTATTTTCGTTGCTACTTCATAACTGTAATTTTGCTACTGTTATAAATTATAATGTAAATACCTGTGTTTTCCCATGGTCTTGGGTAAACCTGCTAGCGGTTCTCAACCTGTGGGTCATGCTGTAGAGTCTAAGGGCAGGAGAGCCACGGATGAAAAGGAATGGGAGGCATGGTTGGTTACAGGATGGGGAGATGGCACTGCGGATGCAGCAGTTGTAGGACCTTGAAATCAGGACACTCCTTTGCGGATCACTGCATGGTATCACCCTGGTAATCGCTTATACTGTGTCATTAACTGCAAGTAACGGATGGACTTCCCTTGTTTTTTAGATTTATACCCTGCCTGCCATTATGAGCAAGAAAGAAGAAAGTAAGTTGTTTTGATAAGTATTTAAATTTTTATCACAGTTATTTTTAATCACAAAGTTATTATGTCATATTAAGAGTTAGCTCTAGGAAAATAATGATATTAATACAATACATCTTTGATCAGATGGTGAATAAAATTCAAAGAAGTTTCTTACGTTAAAATTACTAACAACTGATATTATAGTGACCAAAATTAAGTTTTCTTTCTTTATTGTTTACTTATAGGTATTTACCTTGTTCTATCTCAGAAAGAGATTTGAGGCAGTTGGTAGTTAGCTTGTTTGATTTTGTTGTTGTTTTTAATGGCAGTAGGGGAGCCTATTTATCTTATTTTCTCTGCTCCAATTTATAAGACTAAAGACTTAAATACTTTATGCTAGTTTTAAGATATTGTGCTCAAGAATGTGGAATGCCAGGACATTGTCATAATACATGGGATATGTAAGAACATATGTTGTCACTGTATTATTACTGAATCCTTAGCATCAAATCATTCTTAATAGATACACTGTATGTGTTTTCTATTACATTCTAAATCCTCTTTCATTACCTTCCACCTTTTGCCTTCTTTTACCATTGATTATTTTTATGTGTACTTTATGTCATTAGATTATTTGACATTTAAAACTAGTTTGTATATTTGTTTCTAAGGTTATTTGTATGTCTTTTAAAGCAATTTCAAGTTTTATTTCACTCAATTGACTTTCTCTCATGATGTCTAAATTTATTTTTAAAACGGACTTAATAATCTTGGCTTTTAAATTGCTGTTAAAATACAAGTAAGAGTGGAGTAAATATAAAAACTAGGGAAATGCTCATTTGAAAATCATAAATATTGAGTATCTAATCACAGAAACATTAACCAGTGGGTTAAGAGTTTTGTAAGTACTGAATGTTAGTTCTAAACAATTTCCTAAAAAAGTAATTTATTGTATGATTTGCATTTGAGTAGAGTTTGAAATGTGTTTTTTCTAACATTGGCTCATTGTATATCCATTATAAAGACAAATTATCTACTCAGGGATGAATCTTTCTTCAAAAACAACTGAACTTATATAAGCTATTGAATAAGGCTTTTGAAATGGAAAAACGGTCGAGTCAGAATATGCTTGATATCTAATGTATCTCAGGAACTAGGGTTTCTGTCATAATTAGGAAATTTAAGTAAGAAAGTTATCAAATATACTCATGCTGTGGTGGAGGGAGAAGGTACTTCATGCCATGAAAACTTTTTCTTCAGGAAATTAGTTTTTCTATGGTCTTAGCCACCTGAAACAGCACTGTGCCACCATCTATAATAATAAAAGGGTGATACGCTAATTAGACTGGACAGCAGAACAACCTTCCGGATGAAGCCAGGGCTGTGAGGGCCGAGACCTAGGAGCCCCTTGCATGCATTTTGTGCACTGGGCCTCTAGTCTATATATTAAAGCATAAGTGACCAGCTGACGGCCAGTAGCAATGACATGCACTTATCATCAGGGGGCAGATGCTCAACACAGGAGCGGAAAGCACAGGCATGGAAACATGGAACAGACTGATGAATCTCAGAAGGAAGTGGAGGGGAAGATGGGAAGAGATTAACCAGAGATCTGATATGTATACTAGAGGTCTGGTGCATGAAAATTCATGCACTTGGGATCTCCAAGCCCAGCCTGCACCCTGTCGGGTTCCAGACCTCTTAGGGGATTTCTGACTGACAGCGTAGGCCTACTCCCTGAGGGATGGGGCCTAAGCCGGCAGTCAGACATCGCTCTGGTGGGGAGTGGGCCTAAGCCATTAGTCAGACATCCTTAGCGCTGCAGCAGAGGTGTAGAGGCTTCCGCCACCGACACGGCACTGGCCAACCATGAGCTGGCTTGTGGCTGAGTGGCACTCTCCCTGTGGAAACACACTGACCTCCAGGGGGAAGCTCCTACATTGAGCATCTTCCCCCTGGTGGTCAGTGAGCATCATAGCAATCGGATATTTTGCCATTAGGATCAATTTGCATATTACCCTCTTATTATATAGGACTAGAGATCTGGTGCACAGATTCATACACAAGTGGGGTCCCTCGGTCTGGCCTACGGGGATCAGGCCAAAACCAACTCTTCAATATCCCTTGAGGGGTTCCGTATTGCAAGAGGGTGCAGGCCAGGCCGAGGGACCCCACCAGTGCACGAATCTGTGCACCAGGCCTCCAGTTTGTAATTACAAGATGCTGTGTCCTGAAGTCCATGCATCTATGTCGTTTCTTATATTCTGACTTTCGGTATGATGTATTAGTTTCCTACCCAGTTCTCTGGGCTTAGTGTGACAGAACCCATCTCTCCTTCTTAGTGTACTCAATACAGGCTCTCAGAGGGATGTGTGTTCAGCACTCAATGGCTGTTATTCTTACTTTTAGTGCCAGTAGTCTTTGATTGCCAAGGAGAGATCTTGATCATAAAAAGGAATATTTCAATTCCCTTTGCTTTATTAATATGTAGGGCTCAAAGTTATAAATCTTAACCTTAGTTGCAAGTTTTATTTTTATTATTTATCTGAAGCTATATTTTTTCTTTAAGCATGTTTTTAATCAACATACAGATCTTATTCAAATTATCAATGTACTAACTTTAAAAATAAGTTTTTATTTAATTTTTTCATAAACTTCTATAGATCAAGCTATAATTATAAGTACAAGCTATAATTATAAAACTAATGAATTTTATTCTCTAAATGCAAGACCCTAATAAGACAAATTTGTGATTCTGGCTAATATAATCTTCCTAAACACCTGGCAACTTCTGTAATCTAGTAAATTGGCTGGTAAATGCAGAGATTAATATTCTTTTACACATTTTAAACATTCTAAATAAATCATACACAAAATTATGTAGTGATTTCAAAATGTTTTACTACATACCATAAAGCCTACATATTCAAAACTGCACTTTTTACACATTCTTAGAGATTCAAATGTTCTCACTCAAACAAAATACACCACTTGGTTGAAAAGTCAGGACTATAGTGTGTGCCACCAATTAAAGACACTCAGACTAATGGAGCCTCCTGTAGGTGGCGACTTGGGGCTTGCCAGCTTGCACAAGCAAGTCTTTCTCAGCATCTCTCAGTCCAGGCAGCCATGAGGAACCTTTCCCTAAGGTGACCTGCCTCTCAGACTGCCTCTTTTTCCAGATACTCAGAATTTAATTTCTTTTTGCATGTAATTGTGAGTAGTCTACTACATCAAGGTCTAAAGTTGCCTGGCCGGTGTGGTTCAGTGGTTGAGCATTAACCTATGAACCAGGAGGTCACGGTTCGATTCCTGGTCAGGGCACATCCCAAGTTTGGGGCCAGGCACGAAGCACGTAAAGAGAGACTCATCTATCTAGATTCTCTCTCATCCATCATTGATGTTTTTATCTCTCCCCCTCCCTTCCTGTCTGAAATCAACAAAAAAAATTTTTTTAAATAAAAAAACCTAAATGTATTAATGGCACTGTGAATCTCTTACTCAGACTGCAATTTTACTCCTTTTCCCTTCTATCAGTGTCTTATAGTAGATACTATTTTTCTAGTGATGTATCCTAGGATATCTAGTGATGACTCATAGGATATATCTGAACACTTGGAAGTATTCCAGACTCAAGAACATGTTTAAATTAAGAAGAGCAGCATGTTTCCTTCCTTGCAACACATCCAGAATTTTACTTGTTTCAGATCAAAATTAGGTTCCAGGGATGGTAAGGATCTCAAACCTCTTTCTTTCTTCTTTTTTTTTAATCCTCACCTGAGAATATTTTTCTATTTATTTTTAGAGAGAGTGGAAAGACAGAGAGAGGGAAAGACAGAGAGAATTACTGATGTGAGAGAAAGACATCAATTGAGTGCCTCTGCACACACCCTGATCAGGGCCCAGGCTGGGGAGGAGTGTGCCCTTGACTAGAATTAAACCTGGGACCCTTCAGTCCACAGGCTGAGTCTCAGTCCACTGAATCAAACCACCTAGGTCTCAGACTTCTTTCTAAGTCTTGAATAAATCATGTGAGGTCATCATGGTATACGTTCAGAGCAGCTTATAGCTTTATGTTAGCCATGTTTGTTGAGATCTCCATTTCCCCTTTTCATATTTGACCCCTTCGAAATGGGATTAGGTCAATTTCAGTATGTCAATTCTCTCACAATTGGTATTTGAAACCGGATTAGCTTTGATTCATTTTCCACCTTGAGAAGTCCTTTTATGTAACCTTGTCATTCAGATGGATCCTATTTATCTTAAAATAATCTTGTTTTTCCTTTGAAAACTCAGTTTGTTATGGAATGTGTGTTTTGAACTGCTGTAGATAATTATGAAGCTTAGAATGACAAAATAGAAAACTCAGGTAAAAATTTGATTTCAATGTCAACCATTAAAAGTTTTCATAATGTCTGGGCTGAAAACCCCAAAAGCAACAGGTTAAGAATGATCTCCTATCCTAAAATAGGGACATGCTGTGAATATACAGAGAACATATACCATGAAATGAATAATAAAACTAATGTTATAGAGGGATGAGTCTCTCTTTACAAGTCTAATATGGAAAAATCTCTCTACTTTGTGGTTACTCTTCACTTAGGTACTGTTTTCAGAGTCAAGACGCCATAAACAAAACTAGTGTAATTTAACAGAATAGGAAAGTTTGACTCATCTTAATGAAAAATGCATGACGTACAAAACCTAATATTAGTCAGTTATAGGATATGGAATCCACAAACACTTTCCTGGTTGTGAAATATATCACCACATCCTTTTCTTGGAATTATAAGACTGACAATTGATTTATATTGAGAACAGGAATGCCTGTCATTGACATTAAACGGGTGATATTCAGTTAAGGTGAGAACTAAACTGTTCCTCAAGCCATGCCAGTGGGGATATTTGTTAAAGGACAGCTTACCATTAGTTCTTCACTATTCTGCTGAGCCCACCTTTCAAAGAAACAAATAATCATTGGCACACCTTTCTGTCCCAAGACTTCCATCTTGGGCAGGGAC